TCGCTTCGGAAACATTAAAACACACATGAAACCAAAAAAATAAAATAAAATAAAAATTTAAAAAAAGTAGCCTATGTTCATCAGGTACAATGTCGGCTTCTAATGGAAAAAGAATTTTTCAAATCGGTCCAGTAGTTTCGGAGCCTATTCGAAATAAACAAACAAACAAATCTTTCCTCTTTATAATATTAGTATAGATGTCAAATCTTTTAGCTACGGGCCGCAGAATTATATGTTTCTCATTTACGTGTTAATTACTATCGTAATTATCATTAACGAAGAGACACGAACAATTTGCAAATTGAAAACTAAATTGGTGTTTGATACATAGTAATTTGAAAGATTTTTGAGAAACTACCGCCGTTTTGGCTCAAAAAAAAATCATGATACATTTTTTTTTTTATTGCCTTTATAGGCAGACGAGCATACGGCCCACCTGATGGTGAGTGGTTACCGTCGCCCATGGACTTCAGCAATGCCAAGGGCAGAGCCAAGCCGATGCCTACCGCTAAAAAACATTTTCAATAAGCCGACACTATTTAGTTTCATATAAAACATACTTTATATTTAATGACAAATCTTTTAGTTACGGGCCACAGAATTATATGTTTCTCATTTACGTGTTAATTACGACTAGTTGTCTAATAAATTGGAATTGTAAGTTTGTACACTATTATGATTGTATTTTATACTTCTATAATCACAAATTTCGCCAAGACTACACTATTAAAAATATTAACAAAGACAAACCATATTTAATCTATTCTCAATTTGACAACAGACGTCAAGAACAAAAGTTTGACAATAAATAGTATGCATGCGTGTGTGCGTCAAATACATGGTACGTAGTGTGTGTAATTTTTTCATTATTGATTTAATGTATCTTTTATGCATTATTTAAAAAAAATATTAGCATTGTGCACTCCTTCTCTATATTCTGTATAAGTGTGGAAAATTATATACTCCTCCGTCCGCGTAATTTTCGTAAACAGGGATACAAAGTTTTTGCTTCACGTATTAATATATAGATAATTAACAAAAAGACACGAACAATTTGCAAATTGCAAAAATTTAATTGAAGTACCTAGCATTATCGTGCGAGGATAATTACACGCTTACGTTCGGAATGGAAGATTTTAATTAGTAGTTTATTTTTCCCTACCTGTGCCGATAGCCTTGAGAGGCTATTTCAGCTTCGCCCTAACATGTAGGTGAGCTCGCGGGGCTCAAACCGGAGTGTTGCTAACACTGGCCCTAGCAAGAGCAGTGCTTCACAGAATCTACCACCGGATCGGAATCGCGACCCACTGAGAAGATAATATATCATAATCTATAAAATTATGATGTTTTTTATTTATTTCTTTGATAGGTAGACGAGCTCACAGCCCATCTGGTGCTGAGTAGTTACCGGAGCCCATAGATATTTACAACGTAAATGCCGCCACCTTGAGATATGAGTTTTAAGGTCTCGGTATAGTTACAGCGGCTGCCCCAACCTTTAAAACCGAAACGCATTGCTGTTTCACGGCCGAAATATACGGGGTGGTGGTACCTACCCGTGCGGCCTCACAAGAGGTCCTTAGAACCTTCCAACCTTAGAACTCACATCTCAAGATGGGTGGCGCATTTACATTGTAGATGTCTATGGGCTCCAGTAACCACGTAACACCAGGTGGGCTGCGAGCTCGTCCACCCATCTAAGCAATAAAAAAAACACGGAAAAGGCGTATAGTTCTGATGATGTAAAGCTATTACTGATTGCATTGAGCCTGATCTGCAACCTTGAGGTCAAAGGTGACCATTGCGATGTCTCAACGTCTACAATTGACGTAGTGTGTATAAAATCTTAACGGATTATTCGTTTTAGAGAAAAATCAAAATTTACTAACTGGCCATTGAAATCGCCGATGCGTGAAATTGTAACAATATTTAAAATTATTATTAAAATTATTATTATATAAATTAAATTGATTTTGTTATAAAATTAGCGTGACTAACAGACCGACGTTCGTATAGATATATTTGTAAGTCGAAATTGATTTAGGCTTTTAGGTATCCCGGGAAAGCGCAACCCTAATTCATTGACTATTGTTGTGACTATTCTGAGTGAGACCTTAGAACTTATATCTCAAGGTGTGTGGCGCATTTACATTGTAGATGTGTACGGGCTCCAGTAACCACTTAACATCAGGTGGGCTGTGAGTTAGTCCACACCCATAAGCAATAAAAAAAAATAAAAAAAAATCGCCTATTTCCGATACCAATGAAAATATATATTGCGAATTTGTAATCATTAAAATCCTAATTATAATTATCCGTTTTCTTAAATAAAACACGCGTAGATTTCGATAAAACGCCGGAAATAATTAAGTATTGCTTTTTATTAAATTCATCAGATAGGCGAAGGGAAATATTCAGCCGAATTCAGTCTTAGTGCTCTAGAGATAATTATTTCGCATATATTTTTTTTCGTTTTTTTTCTTTCTTTTTCATTTTCTTTTATATTTTATTTATTTAATAACAACAACGGATCGTGTCCTGTCCGTTCGTGTCAACGCGACGCTATCATTACAGTCCTAACTGATCAATCAACATGTTGATCGGGTGACCGCCATTTTGAATGCTTTTTAATAAACTTAATTTACCGTGCGACGTCATGCGTTATCAAACAATTGGCAATTAAATCTCACTGCCCGATTATGATCTAAAGAAAATGTTTATTAGTATATTACACCCTTTAAGAAGGAAAATAAGAAAAGGCTTCGCGTCGGCTAACAATTACATGTGATCTGAGGTTTACTTTTTTACTTTCCCAGGGTTATTTTTTTGTCCGACGAAAGCGGAAAGCGGCTACTTTGTTTAGCGCAGCGGGACGAAAGATGCCACTTTCCGCCCAGAGGGGAAAAAATAATTTAATTAAATGAATCATTGGCCTAACGGATAAGGCGTTTGGTGTATTGTATCGATGCGGCTGTGCCCACGTTCGAATCCCGCAGGCAAGTTAATTTTTTTTTTCTATAAATATACTTTATAGATGCTTACTACATAGTGGTAGGGTGTACTTTAAGCTCGCAAGGATATATATCGAGAGATGAAAGGCTATTTGGTTTAAGCGACATTTGTCTTTGTAATAATTGAATATGCAATTTCGAAAAGGGCATATGTCGCATATTTTGTTAAATACGTTTTTTTCATATACATTTAGTTTTGAGGCTTACCTACCTACCCATTTTATAATAATTCCAGTAATTTTCAATTGCTAATTAACACTAAAATATATCTCAGAAGTTAATATATTATTTTTACACTGCTTTAGAAAATAAGATCAGTTTTTTTTTTTCATTTCCTGAACATTTTACATTTTCAGAGATTGCATATTCAATTATAGGTATGTTTTATTTGCTATTAACAATAACAGTTCGATATTTTTAAATGAACTTCGATCAAATCAAACATCTGAAGAAGTTTATTTTCGTTATGATTTTTTTTGAAGTGAAAACTTCTTTAGAATCGTTGTGATTTCAAACCGGATGCAACGGAAAAAACGACAGGTAAGAGACACAAATACAAAAATGTGTAGGATGAAGCCAGCAAAGAATGAGACAGAAATATACATACTATTTAATACAGCGCCATCTGTGAGATTTTTTAATACTAACGTGTGTATGAAAGCTCTTGTNACAAAAATGTGTAGGATGAAGCCAGCAAAGAATGAGACAGAAATATACATACTATTTAATACAGCGCCATCTGTGAGATTTTTTAATACTAACGTGTGTATGAAAGCTCTTGTAGTGAATTTTAATTTAGGATTATACGTGAAATTAAAATATCAATTCACAGAGGGCGCTACCTTACAATTATTTACTAATGACAAAATTTTACATTACTTAAGACGTTTAGGATAATTGTATTTTAATTTTGGAAGGTTTCACTTCGACCACGTGTGAATTGCACACATGTTTTTTTTCCAAATTTTAAACTTCAAAGGGCTCTACTGTAGCGTTGCAAAAATATTGCTTAAACCAAATAGACTTTCACCTATTTAAATTTAGAGTACATTAGACATCGGACTTAAAGCCTACGATCATACTAGATATGTCATAAGAACGCCTGCTAAAGCTTTAGTCTCAAGCCGCATCTAGTATCATACGTATAGTTGCTATGGCGCGTATTATATTTTCCTCAAACGATTATCAGTTTTCATCGCAATCGGACACGACCCGTGGTGGAACGCTAACATTAATTCTGTCTCTAACTGTGCGCTAGATTTATGTATATATAAATATGTATGTATGTATTTAAGTAACTAAAAAAATTTACAAATCAGATGACGTTAATCGTAGGATCTGCTTATTTAAAAAATTCATTTAAATCTGTATCTGTCTACCAATAGGCAAAGACGTAACAATTATATGGCAAGTTCTAGAAGCTTGAGACTGTTTGTTGACAAGCCGGTGTTGCCATTACTCTTTTTTTCCACTATTATAGGAAAATATTAAAAACAAAAGATTTTTCCGAACCATTTGACGAATACTAGTTACAATTAATATTCACTGTTTGCAGTGGCTTCTGACGTCATTAACAATGATACGGTGAGCACTAACCGTCAAGAGGGTCGCTTGCTCAACTACCATTAAAAAATATATATGAAAGATACCTTTGGATATTTTTTTTAATTTTAAAGTGTAAAAAAAAACATTAAACAACGCCATCTGTATTTGTAGTGACTAACTAAAGTAAAAAAAAGAACAGTTTATACATAGAGAATACTTTTTTGTAAGTTTTGTTGAAATATAAAAATAAAATAAATAAAAAAAAACGATACTATATAACTCTCTTCTAAGTATAATAAATATTATAATACACGAAAAACAAAAGGATAATTGTAAAAAAAAAAATGAAACAAAAAACTGGACAATAACAGATTGCTTTATTTAACAAAAAATATATATATATAAATATAATATAAGGAAAAAAAACAACATTTTCCACACGATACAACTTTTTAACGTTTTTTTTTTAAATATAGCTCACGAACGCTGATAGTGTAAAATTTTGTTTTGATCCTTTGTCGTATCTCGCTTCTATACATATAATGTAAAAATTAATATTAACCCATCGAACCTTACAGTATTAAATATAAAATACATATTTCTTTTTTTTATAGCTATTTACAAAATACAAGTTAAGATTTAATTATTTTTCTTTAATAATAATTATAATAATAATATACTTTTTTTAACATTAATATAAACCAGTCTATAGTAAGGCTATTCGACAAACTTATTATAAAGGCGGAGGGAGACACTTTGACAGATGACAGATTTGACAGCTGTCAAAGTGAACGCCGTCCGACCTTGAGTGTTAGAGAAATTTGATTGGTTATTTTATTACTAGGTTTTTTTTCTTCATTACGTAGCAGGCAATTACGAAATATTCGTATCAAAATTTAATAAGAAAACCGAGCATTTACGTAAAAAAAGAAATAAAGTTAAAAACGAAAAAAAAAAAAACGTTTTAAAATAATATTATGCATTTTTTTGTGGTGTAAGTGTACTTGAAGATTTATTATGCTTTGTTTTAATTTCGCAGATGGCACCCGAAAACGTTGCGTGCAAAAAGAATAATTAATGAGATCAAATTAAGGTTTTAATTGCCTGCTCTTAAACAGTGTACTTGTGTAAATTACTTTAATTGTTCGAAATTTTGTTCAGTGTGACGCTTTTGGTAACATCGATTCACGATTCAACAAAAAAAAAAAAGGCAGCCCCTATAATGCAGTCTTATTGTCAAACTCGACTGACCGCTGTCTGATTATTGTCAGTTGTAGACCAACGCGAATCAGTAGAAGTTCTCATATCGCGGACTGAATTGAATTTTAATTTCATTTTAAATTATATCAGACAATGCGAACTGATTGTTTTGTATTCTTAAGCAGATTATTAAAAACAAGAATAGAAAATTTACAAAAAAAAAAGAAGTAAAAATTGGGCAGTATCAATTATAACTTATATTACAACTTAACCGAGAAATCTACAAAGAGAAACATCAATAATATAATCATTTGAAATAAATAACAAGTTACATTCTTTAAAAAAAAAACTGTTAAAAATAATTAAAAAAGACCTATTTAAAAAAAAAACTTTACGATTTATTTCCATGAAATACGTGTGATATTAAAACTCACTACATAATAAACTTTTTATCTCTTAATAAAAACTCTATTCCTATTTTATACCTTTATATAATAATTATTATTATTATTTCTTCATTCAAAGTTAGATACATTTAACATTATTCATATTGCGTCCGCACGCGCGCAGACATACACGAAAAAAAATAAAAAAAATAATCAAACAAAACTGAACGCGTACCTGCAGCCTTATCGCGAATTTGAATTCGAAAAAGAAAAAAAAACATTAAACATGTCGCATGCAATCTCTCCCGCGCTCCATAGACTAGCATGCAACTTCTTTTTTTTTTGTTTCCGGTACCCGTTCAGTTTTGCCGGGAAGTCGGGAGTAGCTGTCAAGTATATAAATTAGAAAAAGAAAAAAAATGCGGCTCACTAACGCCATCTATTATCGGCGGACGTGAATACCGTGAAAGCCGTCATCGTCGATGTGCCGAAGATGCAATTATCCGTGCGTGTAATCTAAAACACTGTCTAAAGAGAACAATTCTTTGTATAAAGCTGGGAAAACGTGATGCGGATGCGTCGCTTTGAAACGGCTCAGCGCTCCGAGGTGCATCAGGGAGAGATCTCTGCAATGATAAATGACGGGAATCAAAACCAAAACAGACACTTAAAAGCCCTCAAACTTAGTTTTTATTTCCTACCTAAGCTGATAGATAGCCTTGGGAGGCTATTTCAGGGTAGCATTTACTAGTAGGTGAGCTCACGGGGCTCAAACCTGAGTGATGCTAACACTGACCCTAGCAAGAGCAGTGCTTCGCTGAATCTACCACCGGATCGGCTGTGTCTATGGGTTAACAGACTTAGTACAATTAGTGTCTTTGACGAACAATAAGATATGGACGAGTATCGAAACTGCTTAAATGGTCGGCTCACGACTCACCTGATGTTAAATGGTCGCCGGAGCCCATAGACATCAGCAACATAAATGCCATCGACCTTGAGACATAAGTTTGAAGTCTTTACAGTTACATGTGACGGTACCTATCCGTGCAGACTCAAAAGAGGTCCTACCACCAGTAATTACGCAAATTATAATTTTGCGGGTTTGATTTTTTTTACACGATGTTATTCCTTCACCGTGGAAATCAATCGTGAACATTTGTTGAGTACGTATTTCATTAGAAAAATTGGTACCCGCCTGCGGGATTCGAACACCGGTGCATCGCTCAACACGAATGCACCGGATGTCTTAACCTTTAGGCCAGGATGACTTCAACGTGCCACTTTTTTTTCCCAAGCTGATAGCCTTGAGAGGCTAGATCAGCGTCGCCTTAACTAGTAGGTGAGCTCACGGGGCTCAAACCTGATGACGTTGCTAACACGAACCCTAGCAAGAGCAGTGCTTCGCAGAATCTACCACCGGATCGGAAACGCGACCCACTGAGAAGACTCGACGAGAAACTCAGTGGGCTGTGTCTGTGGGTTAATTTACTCGTCGAGCCCTTCGTCGCAAGCGACGGGTTCGACAAGAACGATGACCGGTGCTTGAGGTACCTAAAAGCACCGTTAGTGGATCGGGAGGATCCGAAAAACGTGCCACATGGCATGGCCTTATTGTTATTATTTATTTATTAGTTACCTGAAAGTGGGTATCTTGGCCAGGAGTGTATCCAGCACGGTGACGTCACCCTTGAGCGGCGCGTGGTTGACCTCGATCTCATGCCGCATCGCCGACATGGACATGTTGAAGAGACATCTGATCTCCGAGTTGCCCATCACGCCGTGACGCTCTGGAACCAACGGTGACAGTTATGATACAAGAAAGATATAACCGCCCTGCTTATTTCTGCCGCGAAGCAGTAATGCGTTTCGGTTTGAAGGGTAGGACAGTCGTTTTACTGTAAAAACTGAGACCATAGAACTTTTATCTCAAGGTGGGTGGCGGCATTTACGCTGTGGATGTCATGTACCACGCTTTATTTACAATAAAATATATATTTTTTACACTATTTTCAATTTAAATTTATTAAAATTTATTTTCTATTTTTTAGTTGAATTTTATATAAAGCGTGTTTTTTTAATTTTTTTAAACTATTATTTATTGTTACTAAGCGCCTGGATTGCCTGACTTTGTTTTTTTTTGTTTACCAACGTATGTTTTAATCTTTTTCGGTCTTTTAAAAATAGATTCATTCTCAATATCTGCGGATTCATCTTTCCCGGAGCCTATTAGATATTCCGGTACATTAGTTAGAAAATCGAAGAGAGAAATCGACATAGTTACATCACTGGGCCGCGTAGGGCACTGGTGACCGACTTTTTTTTTATTGCTTTGATGTGTCGACGAGCTCACAGCCCACCTGGTGTTAAGTGGTTACCGGAGCCCATGGACATCTANTTCATTCTCAATATCTGCGGATTCATCTTTCCCGGAGCCTATTAGATATTCCGGTACATTAGTTAGAAAATCGAAGAGAGAAATCGACATAGTTACATCACTGGGCCGCGTAGGGCACTGGTGACCGACTTTTTTTTTATTGCTTTGATGTGTCGACGAGCTCACAGCCCACCTGGTGTTAAGTGGTTACCGGAGCCCATGGACATCTACAACGTAAATGCCGCTACCCACCTAGAGGTATAAGGTCTCAGTATAGTTACAACGATTTTGTACTTACCTGGCCACAGGAGCACAAGGCTCTGGTATAGAGCCAGTTCAGTCTCGGTCAGCTTCAGTCGAGCGATGCTCTTGGCAGCCTCAAAGATTCCTTGCACCAGTGCTACGTCTCTGGGATCGCTGCGACCAAGTACATTACATTACTAGCCTACCCTCTATAATATGACTATTAATAATCTTACTGGTTTTATCGATACGCAACTTGTTTACCACGTGACACACCTTGAGACATGAGGTGGTAGTGTCAATGGTATTATACAAAAGTTGTCTCACGGTTCAAGCTTAAAGAAGCGATAGGGCGGTTCTATTTTAAGCCGCGAGCACACAATAAACCAATATTATTTTAACACACGCTGTATTCATAGTCATCGTGTTAGATAATGTTTTTGACACACCATTCGTGCTATATAATGTTCTAAATTATTGTACTATCGACGATCGAAATTCGACCATAAGTCACTGACCCCTAAGATTCGGATTCGTTTTATATATGAGTCGTCTATTATCAAAGGTGGCAATCTGTGCATTTGGACAAAAAAATATTATTGATATGTCAATACAGATTGATTTGAATATAATCGTCTCCTTCAAAGAATACGGTTCAAAACCTGCATTAAATAAAGGTTAATAGTTAACCTGTTATTTATCTAAGATGTCGTTCAGAAGAGTTTTGTGACTGTCAATGGAATACAAAGTCAATAATTCGTTTTTCTGATTTACCAATAATTGTCCAAAAGTCACATTGCCGGCTTTGATAATAGTCGACTCATATGTCACATCTATTAATTTCTATCATCAGTAATCGTGTGACGCTTAGGCGAAGCGACGTTCATTCGCCACGAAATAAAAATTTACTAAAAACGAAACACCCTGTATACGGTTGTTGATATTCAAATAAACCACCCTGTATGTACTCACCGCGCGTGCACGCACTCCCGCACGGGTAGCACCACGTCTCCGTAGAGCACCTGGTCGCGGTTCACGTCGATTAGCCGCGACAGACGGACGATCGCCAACTCGAACGAACCTTGAAATGAAATCGATACATTAAATCGATATATTAAATCGATACATTAACGACACGAACGTTGGGTCCGAAGCTACCCATCGTCGATAACAGTAGCTATAATCGCTCGAGGCTATCTGATAGTCTCGAAAGTATTTTAAGGTTTCGCCAATCGATTTCCTTACGGTTGAGCGCTCGTGAGCACCTGTGAGCTCTGCTGAGCACTCGTGATTGCTCGTGAGCATTGTGATTTTTGTAAAATCTTTCGTATCGTTTCTCACCTGATTTAAGCAGCAGTATTTGATCGTCCTGGGTGAGCTTCATGAAACCAGGTATGAGTTTCGCGAACTCAATGATGTTCTGGATCATCGCCGTGAGCTTGTCGGCGCAGTCCAACCACATCTCCTCGTAGGTCATGGAGTTATAGAACAAGAGCCTGCGTAGAAGATATCACATTTTAATAGGCGCCTCTCCCCTCCCCCCTCTCCCATTATCTACCTTTGACGTTTATAATGCAACTTTTTTTTTCCTACCTTGCTAAGAGCCTTGAAGGGCTATTTCAGCGTAACCTTAACTAGTAGGTGAGCTCACGGGGCTCAAACCTGATGACGTTGCTAGCACGAACCCTAGCAAGAGCCGTGCTTCGCAGAATCTACCACCGGATCGGAAACGCGACCCACTGAGAAGATCCGGCGAGGAGCTCAGTGAGCTGTGTCTGAGGGTTAATTTACTCGTCGATCTCTTCGTTGCGAGCGACGGGTTCGACGAGAACGATGACCGGATAATGCAACAATGACAGAACAATTGCGTAGCTACGAATCACAGCGGAAAACAAAAACACAGCGACGACCTCATGCAAAGAACGATGAGGTAGGTTCGTGTAGCACGAGCTCACGGCTCACAGACATTACTAGCCATAATACCACCACTCAGCTTGAGACATGAGGTCGAAATGTCAGTTGCACGCAACACTGGTTTGCGACAGCAACGATAACGACCAGCAATGTTTAACTAACAATTGCTGTTTTTTTTATTGCTTAGATGGGTGGACGAGCTCACAGCCCACCTGGTGCTAAGTGGTTACTGGAGCCCATAGACATCTACAACGTAAATGCGCCACCCACCTTGAGATATAAGTTCTTGGGTCTCAAGTACAGTTACAACGGCTGCCCCACCCTTCAAACCGAAACGCATTACTGCTTCACGGCAGAAATAGACGGGGTGGTGATACCTACCCGCGCGGACTCGCAAGAGGTCCTACCACCAGTAAGTCCTACACCCGGTTTGTCTTGGAACGCGAAATGTAATCCTAAATAGTACAGTCAAACCTTAGGAACCTTACTTAGAAACATCCTGGGGCTTGCCGAACATCTCATGTATGTAATCCAACTTCGGATTTGTATTCGCGTGCGCCTCTGTCAAACTTTTCACTAGCACCTTGCTAATGTCACCCTCCACTGTAAAAAAAAAATTAGTGTGGTTTAAAAAAAAAAACAATCGTCGCGACAAAATCGATTTTAAGACAATAAAAAAAACAAAAACAACAAAGAAACTAGTATCATTGGGAATAGCAAGAACAACCGAAACACAATCATCATACAAACTACTTCTAAAACAATAAAATAAACAGTATAATAGCGTCTAAAAACTAAAACATAAACTTATGTAACAAAACTTAAAATATAAAACAATAAAAACTGGCCATAGAGAATCGACTTAAATAAAAATAAAGTTTACACAAATATAATAATAGATGGCGCTATATAGCTTTTAGAAACGTTCTGACAAACGAACCTTATGTTTGCAAATCAAAATGACATTGTAAACATTTCAAATAAATTATTGAGATTCATTTTCGTTATTTATATGGTGGATGTTGCTTTTGAAAATGGCTTTAGATCCCATCTCAGCACTTTTGTTAGGGAGTTGCATTATGGGCTGTTGGCGTAAGTGATTTTTTCTCTTTTAAATACTCCAGCTAGCTCAGTATCGCTACGTTTGAAGTATAAAGTAGAATTTATTTTATCGGCTGAAGCCGGCATGTTACAAATATTATAAATACGAGTTTGTGAAGTATTACAAAGGAAGATTACAAAGAAAATAATGTTTCAATTTATTTTAACAGCATGCTTACTACCGTGTTGCTTCACGCTACCGCTACTGTCCTTTCCTTTGATAATCGTACGTGAATCACAGCCAAATGACGGACAAGAAGTGAGTTCTAGATTAATTCGTGACTTATTTGAAAAATGAAATGCATAAATTCCCGAATTCACGTTATACTCCATCCGTTTTGTGGTGTTTTAAAGATTTTTCACCGAATCCTCTAAGGAGAATCAAATCAGCAACTGTTCTTATTAGTTTTAAATACAACATTGGGACACAAAGTCCAGATTTGAATTGAATTGAAATTAGGATTGCTTCGCGCCAAAAATAGACTGTAATTTGCCCCATAAATTTTGATATAAATAAATATTTATTTAAATTTAGATTTAAAAAAAAAAGTTTAATTTTCAGACGACAAGTAATACATACAATTTATTTTGGTCGAAAAGTGGATTTGTAGTGAAGAAAAAGAAGAATAGTCAGTGAACAAAAAAAAACAAATATAAACATTTTGTAGCCGTGACGCCATTTTGATTTTAATTTGCGCCTTCTCTAAGACTTCTTAATATTTAAGGTTGATTTATGAAAAAAAACAAATTATAAATTCTCTACAATCTACACTAAAATCGTAATTATGAATAGAAATACAATACATTCAAGCAATAAAATATCATAAAATCAATAAACGAAATTTGATACAACAACAAAAAATTATCAGCTACATGTTTTTGTCAAACTTACAAGGCATATCGTCATTAGAATTATTAGCGCCGTGGTGTCTTCTCGTTGACACAATATTGGGGTTCACCATTCCCATGGCGGACATGTTCATGTTCATGGGGTCCATTAGCCTCTCGTGGCCGCTGCTCGAAGTCAAATCATCAGGACTCAAGTCCTCGCTGGTCAAGGAGACGGAGCTCTGACCGCTGACAAGCACCGTGTTCTGTATCTCCATCGGGCTGTTTTGCATGTTAGAAGGACTGTGTAGGAACGTTGTCGAGTCGACGTAGCTGGCCACTAAGTTATCGACGCCCATGGAAGTCTCAGGCTTGATCTCCTGCTTAATGCTGATGACCCCTGACGGCGACTGGATCCGGTCGTCGTACCGGTCGTACTCCTGCAGCCGTGATCTGGGCAGCTCGTTTATGGCCGATGGTCGGATCGTGGTCGTGGTGGCGGTCGTGGTCGCGGTCGACGGTCGGACGATGGTCGATTTCTGGCGCTCCTCTATTGACAATGCCGTTATTGTACCGGTTTTTGTTAATGGTCACGTGGCTTTCGAAAAATGCGGGAACAGAATTTGAAACAACGCGAGATAAGTGTTTACGGCTTGTACTAGTATAATGCCTTTGAAACGTCTGGATAATTCCAAACAAACAGATACTTCAAAATGGACGATGGCAAGCTATTTCAATGACGTGAATTTTCGGTGAAATTCGCGGCAAAAATGAGCCGCCCAAGCTTGCGTTACAAACAAGTTGCTTTAAAACGCTTCACAAGACATTACCGTCATGTTTAATGTACACTGAAATAGTTTTTATTAAATTTTTCCGTGAAAATTCACCATGAATAATTCATTTGATGTAACTTATCGCGATTACATTCCCATTATTTTGAAAACCACGTTTGAATTACATACTGAAAACGGCAACACGTTTTAATACAAAAAAATATTGTTAGTTTGATAAGGTACATCGGTTTCTTGTCTTTTGCATCGATAGTGAAGTTCAAGAACGATTGAAAGAGACAAAACATTTTGTTACTTTCTTTAGGGTTTATCTTTATTTTAGGCGCTTAATATCCGAGACGTTCCAATGCACGCTATTTAGAAATAGTTATGTTTAGCATACAATTTCACAAGTTAATTTATACTGTATTTTTATTATATTAAAGTTAAATTTCGCAATTTGTTTAACTTACTGATTTAGCTATGGATTATTTTTACAATTTATTTTAATATTTCATTTCATCACAGTTAATTTATGAGTATCAGATTACCGTTTCCGAAGACTACAATATTATAGAAGTAATGCCTCAATTTACACCGAAAAAAATGCTAAGGTAAGCAACACGCATAAGGTTATGTTCTGAAGCCGCATCTAAAGGTCACGCAATGTCGGACATTGTCGACTATGCGTGTTATATTTGTCCTAAATTGCGTTCAAAAACATTGCTAGTACTTTTTTCTGTCACCGTTACTTTTAAAGACTCCTCTAAGCTGATTATAGAAATGAACTGACCGTGACTTATGAAGTCTGCGTCCAAGAACCCTGTCTGTTTGGGCTCGTATGTCGTTGTGGAGTCCACGTAGTCGCCTGAGACCTCGTACGGGGGCTGGGCTGGGGGCTGCGGCTGCATCCCGCTCATGTTCGAGGGTAGCGCTGGCCCGGCGTTGTTGTAGCCATACGAAGACAACGGCGACCCGTATCCTGGGTAGCTGTAAGAGAATCATCCGGAAATTTCACGTACAGGTCAGCGAAAGTTTAGATTTTGTGATGTGTAAATAATACGTGCCGCTTTGAAGAGCGGTACTGCAGTTTTACCTTCATTTTATTTCATTGCACTCCATATTATCATTTATCATGGGGATGGAAATGTTAATTGAAATAAGACATGACCTAAAGGTCTTAGTTACCACGTCATAAAATCCCTTAAAATAAAATGTATAATATAAACGCTTTTGACAAGTTGTTGGGATATGGGTTATAAAAAAAAAACCGAGAGCTTATAAATAATTCTAATTAATTCTATATTTAAAAATGTATATTAAGTAATCAATGAGTGTTCGTCAATACAATTTTGACATGATAACAATCGCCTACCACGTATCGTTATTAAATTGAATGATAATTTAATTAAGCCATCATTAATTTGCGGGTGAATGCAATCGTTTTTCAATCAGTGCGATAGGGTTGCGGTTAAAAAATAGTGAACGAACCACAAAATTCATATTAAAAGTTTTCGAGTGGACAATTGCTAAATTTCAACTAAAAATATACCAAACAAAAATCATTTGTAAACTACTAACCTATATCCTCATTCTCAGAAAGTAAAAGGAATCTTAAAGGTTAATACCAAATTAATTCACCCACGTATCGTATCGAGGTAAGTTACCGGCGACATCTGTTATCGTTTTAAAAAAAACTTTTAGTACCGCAAGCCGTTACTAGATGGCGCTACTTGCTTGTTATTCGTCGAACCGTGTCAGATAACCGTTCGCCGGGAAAATAATAGTGTACCGCGACTAAGCATTGTAATGAAGTAATAACTGTTCATAGCAGCATTTTAATGTTAATGCCGTAATGGGAAAACGTGTTTGCAATTCTTTTGTTCGGTTATGCACGGTGCTCGACGTGGCTTCGAAAATTAAACTATTATTGCCTTTTATAAACATTATTTACGATTGGTATACTGGTTGTTTTTTTTTTTTTGTAAATAAAAACTTCTTTCACCTTTGCCATTTGAAATTCGGAGAAAAAAGATTTAAAAAAAATAATGAGTGGCGTCTTACGGACATCCGATTGGAACAGAGTACTTTTTGCTATAACCTTTTTTGTGTTGTATTAAGCTAATGATTAAAATAAAAAAATAAGTAAAAGCAAATAAAGCTGGCGTTCTAGATAAATTTCCGGAATGCTTCACTCGCAAATAATTCCGGCCTAATTAAAATGTAAATGTAAATAAATAAATAACTGGAAACAAATCACGCATAGTCATCACGGGTACTAGAGACTGAGATACATACTAATATGCGTAAAGAGCAAACAAACCTGTGTGTTCAGTGCGAGTCCTTAACGTTCTCGATAGCGTAAAAGTTAACTTAAATTTGTATGCAGCTGAAACAGCGCCCCTAGCGGCAAACGTAGGCAACGCGTTAACTTTTACGCTATCGAGAAACTTAAAAAACTCTTAAACGTTTGTACCGATGCGGGAATCGACCCTAGGCGCGACGTTTTTTTTTATCGCTTAGATGGGTGGACGAGCTCACAGCCCACGTGGTTTTAAGTGGTTACTGGAGCCCATAGACATCTACAACGTAAATGCGCCACCCACCTTGAGACATAAGTTCTAAGGCCTCACCTGTTATAATGCCCGTGGAACTGGTCGCTCGAGCTGGGCGTCTGCTGCTGGGCGTCGTACACGGAGTCCGGCGCCGCATCAGCCTGCACCCGCATCTGCGCCTTGTGGTATCTGACCTCGTCCTCGACCTTCTCCCGCTGCTTCTTCGACATGCGACCGAATTTGACGGCTGCAACAGAACGGATATGTTTTAGCTACCTATTGGTTGGTAGCCTAAGGGTCTATTCCAGCTAAGCCCGGACGGATGAGCTCACGGACTCAACCTGAGAGAATTTGCTAACACCAGCCCTAACAAAAGCAGTGCGTCACAGAATCTACCACCGGATCGGAATCGCGACCCACTGAGAAGATCCGGCGAGAAACTCAATGGGCTGTGTCTAAGTCTTGATAAGTTGAACAATATTTTTTTTAAATCTGGCTGCGGTATTTGGACATTGGTATATTCAGCTTATCCATTAGGTCACGACCTGATTTTTTTTTTAATAATTGAATATCTGAGTCAAATTTAACCCCTCATAACGTAAACTTCTTCGTGGGACAGTCAGGCAAAATTAAACTCAAAAATGTTGCAATGAAAGTTGAATGTAGAATGATTCACGAAAATCACAAAACGCGCGAATATTGTCACCCGATTAATTACACTACCCGCCGCACGGAGCGCTGCCTTCGCAAAACGGCACGTGACATAATGAGCGTGATTTTCGCATTCCCATACAAGTAATCACGTTTTTTTTTATTTTTAATACAATAATAAATACATAACCATTGCAACTCAATGATAAGTCAATCGGCGACGCACACTAAGCTGAGACGCGTGTGTGCAAAGCGTGGTTGTGTGCGTGACGCCCGCTGATTGGCTGCGCGCGCTCGTGTGCGTTCGGGAAACATCGCGCCTCGGCCGTTGGCATACTGCCTAGTGGAACAACGAACTCTCGAACTCGACTCTGACGTACATGTACATGACGTATCGATACGTAACCCGCCGGTCCCGTTAACGCGGCAAAATCAAAACAAACTCACGCTCCGAGACGTCTCGCCCGCGAATACGACCACTAAAATCGGTTGTGTGCGCTTAAATTTTTCGTCCATGTAATTCTTTATTTAAAAGGTTCACTCAACCGCCGATTAGCGTTGGTCTCTATTTCCTATGACTGTGTTTGTGTCGAGAGGTCTTTTTATGTGGTGGCGTATCCAATGTAATTTGACCTCTGTTATGGAAGTGTTTTAATTACACAATGGATCTGTTCGATTGGACCTGTACTACAACAAAGCGTTCTATGTTTTTTTTTAAATTTATGAACTATTCTGAAAGAACAATAGTTTTTCTGTGTTCGAAATAAACGATTCCTTTTTCAAATATGATTTACGTTTTTTTTTTATTGTTACAATAACTAACGTTTATGAAATTTATATTTATGTTTTGTTACGTGTCAACTATGTACTAAATTTTAAATAAAATAAGAACTCATTGTTCTTTATTTAAAATTTAAAATAGTTTTATTTATTTATTTAGTAGATACGGTTTTTCCATGGCTTTCATGTTTGAAATTAATATTTTTTATGACAGAGATGCATAAAAAAATGTGTTCATAGAATAATTATCATCGTAATGTGTGCTTAAAAAAAATCTAGTTGCAATCAAGTTCTCTTACACAAACATAATATCAAGTTATGTTATATATGTTATGTATATAAAAACTGGTATATGCATAAGCGTTACGTCGTCTGTGTGTTGTGTAATCATAGTGCCGGGACATATATCGATACCGTCGATACTTTTATACGTTTGTTAATATATTTCGCATATAATTTTCGTTGGGTCCATCCAAAGAAAGTACTATTAGAATTAAGTCTGTACGTGTCTGACGTGGTCCCAATTATATCAAAGCCTTAGTTATTTCTGCCATAAACCTATCATGAGCTCCGGTTCAAGAAACTGGGATTCGCTTCAGTTAAATTGTTTCTGTTAAATCGACCTCATGCTGGAAGATATGACATTAGTACTCGCGTTGTAGGCAGTCAAATATAAACCAGGATCGGATGTTGATATTGTTCATTTTTAATAGCACTGAGTGTGAATACGAAATTATTTTAATAAAAAATAAATAAATAAATCACAGTGTCCCATCACTATTTTGCTTGCGTTCTATTGCGCAATATTACGCCCGAACGGCTTCTCGCTATGCGCTGCACGCTCCCTACTACATAATACAATTAAACACTTTTAATGAGGTACATTCTTATTAAGATTAATTATTCAAATTCAAAAATCGAACAATTTCATTTTTGTGTACGTTTGTACAAAAAAAGATGTTTCAGAACGACAACATCATTGAAAATATTATAATTTTTAAACACATAAGTACCTAAATAAAAATTAAAAACAAATTCCAAATTTGATTTTGAATTGACGGTGCTTGTTTCTTCGCGGCTCAAGTTGAGTTATGAAATTGAAATTCGAATATGGAATGTTTGGATGTATTATTTTTCCCGCATTATTTTATTGTACCACGTACAAGCTCTCTAAGTGTTAACTAAGTGTTCTCTAAGTGTCATTACTGGTGGTAGGACCTCTTGTGAGTCCGCGCGGGTAGGTACCACCACCCCGTCTATTTCTGCCGTGAAGCAGTAACGCGTTTCGGTTTGAAGGGTGGGGCAGCCGTTGTAACTATACTGAGACCTTAGAACTCATATCTCAAGGAAGGTGACGCATTTACGTTGTAAATATCTATGGGCTCCAGTAACCACTTAACACCAGGTGGGCTGTGAGCTCGTCCACCCATCTAAGCAATAAAAAATAATAATTACAGAGTCTATGGCCATCATCAACTCCGTAACAATGAAGTCGAATTCTCAATTACATTGTTAAACACCTTCCCGCTTTTCAAAGAGGAACACTTAACTGTTATTGGTAGTAACTACGTATACAGATCATTACATAATCATTGCGACCTGTTTTTAATACGCTGTCATACCTTAATCATGACCTACCCGTAGACAGTGGTCTAATCTGTACCAAACCAATACATTTATCTACATTCCTAATTCAAGGGAGTATCTTTATGTACGGCCCTGACATCGCGGCTATTACGCCTCAGACTGTTTTCATTATTTTTCTTCGTCTTTTAAATTTCAATCGTAAATCAATTGTTACAATTAAGGCCGTCAGCGCAAAAGTGGCCTAATCCACAATTTTTCATAAGCATGCTTATTGCATTATGTATATTGCAGTTTATTTAAAATATAATAAATTTTGATGCAAAACCGGCCTATCCATAGTTTCGCCCATAGATAACAGATGGCTTTGTAAACATTGTTTTCGCGCGTATTGTTTTTTTTTTTGCCTACTCAAATTCTAATTCATGCAAACTTAAACCTTATTGCTCCATAACAACTATGGTAAGCTTAGGCCGCTTTTGCACTGACGGCCTCAATTAAGAAGTGAAAATACAGAACGTTTTCTCGAAACGCGGTAGGAAACAGGCCCGGGGTGAATGACCCCTTATCGGTCGCTGATAAAGTCGTTACGTTAAACAATCAGACTGTGTAATGTATAATACATTAGTCATCTGGAATGCGGAAACTGCTGTCTCGGGAAGAAGTTTGCTTCGACACAATCACCACTAGGTGTCGCTTAGAATCGTAATGGCGATTTTTTTTTCCTACTATTCTAGGCTATTTCAGCGTAACCTTAACTAGTAGGTGAGCTCACGGGGCTCAAACCTGACGACGTTGCTAACACGAACCCTAGCAAGAGCCGTGCTTCGCAGAATCTACCACCGGATCGGAAACGCGACCCACTGAGAAGATCCGGCGAGAAACTCAGTGGGCTGTGTCTGAGGGTTAATTTACTCGTCGAGCCCTTCGTCGTAAGTGACGGGTTCGCTTGAAGTACCTAAAAGCACCGTTAGTGAATCGGGAGGATCCGAAATTACGTGTTTTGGGCGACGTCTACTGCTTTCCATTCTGTCCGCAGGATCGGGAATGATACTGGCGGCTGCTTGCTTTAGTACGTTGTAGATGTATATGGGCTGATAACCACTTAACATCAGGTGGGCTGTGAGCTCGTCCACCCATCTAAGCAATAAAAAAAAAAGACACGTTACAACTATAAAGGAATTCAAAGCTTTTTATGATTGATCTATCACTCACCATCACGACTCATGCCGAGTTTGAGGCACTTCTGTAGTCTGCAGTACTGGCATCGGTTGCGGTTGACCCTGTCCACGACGCAGGCCTTGTTGCGAGGACACTGGTAGTTCACCACTGAAACACGCCGCTGAGTTAATAAGGACATTTCAAGGATGAAGTCCAAGGTTTTTTTTTATTGCCGTATAGGCAGACGAGCACACGGCCCACCCGATGGTGAGTGGTTACCGTCGCTCATGGACATCAGCAATGCCAGGGGCAGAGCCAAGCCGCTGCCTACCGTTTAATACTCTCCATAAGCCCCGTTTGAAGAAGGGCATGTCATAGCGCTCGGGAAACACCGTGGAGGGGAGCTCATTCCATAGCCGGATGGTGCGTGGCAAGAAAGATCTCTGGAAACGCACTGTGGATGACCGCAGTGGCTCCAGGTAGTATGGATGAACTCTACTCCGGTGGCGGGCGGTGCGATGGTAAAAGCGAGATGTCGGTATCATCTCGAACAATTTCTCAGATCACTCCCCAGTGAACTGGATTCGTCGGAGCGCGGTATAGAAGTGAAACGAAATGGTCCGATTTGACAGGTTTTAGATAAATAACCAGTATAGTTAACCTTCCTATAACACGGTAGACACGTTCCTATTAAGTCCCGCGTTGTACGAAACCGCGTTATATGCGACTAGAAGCCAATACAAAAAAGGAGGGTATTTTTTCTGAATGAAACATCTCAACTATGCCTGTATGTATTGTTTTACTTATCTATCTTCTATCTATATATATAAAAATTAATTTCTGTTCGTTAGTCACGCTAAAACTCGAGAACGGCTGGACCGATTTGGCTAATTTTGGTCTTGAATTATTCGTGGAAGTCCAGAGGAGGTTTAAAAGGCAGATAGATGAATATGAAAATGCTCGGAATTAAATAAAAATAACAATTTTGTTTTTCTTTTGATGTGTCCCCGTCGGACGGATTCCTTTTGTTTGTTTTAAGTTTATTTTATACAAAAGTTTAGGTCTTTTATTTGTCGATTGAGGCACTACGAAGTCTGCCGGGTCAGCTAGTTATAGATAAAAAATAAGCAGCGAAATTTTGGTCTGTGTGTCCCATATATATTGTGTGTTCATATTCCAAAACGTAATTTTCTAAATAATTTCAAACAAAAATCTCTTTATCGCGTTGTAGAGTACCGTGTTATACGTAGGTTTGGGAAAATTTTCTTTTCGTATTAGACCGGAATCGTGTTGTAAAATACCGTGTTATATGTGGGTTTCATGAAAATTAGATGGATAAAAGTAACAAAGTATGAGTCTCATAAAAATTGTAGCTACTCTAAGTTGATTTCACGGTAGTTTACCCTTCAAACTGCTTCACGGCAGAAATAGGCAGGGCGGTGGTACCTACCCGTGCGGGCTCACAAAACGCCCTACCACCAGTACAAAGCAGTAACTTAATTAGGTGGGTCATATATACCCATAATTTAATTTTTTATCAAAGTCAAAGACGCCGACCTGTGCTCTGGGATCGTCTGAAGAATCCTTTGCATCCCTCGCAGGTGATCACGCCATAGTGCACCCCCGACGATTTATCTCCGCATACCTTGCACGGTATTATCTCGATTTGGGCTGAAACAAATAAAAGAACGTCATTAATGAAGTGTCACATCATGAACATAATTTACCGAATGGCTCTTTGGTTACAGATCCCATTGCGTCAATGATTAAAAAAAAAATTGTAAATTTTGACATTTCTATTGCCGCGTTCGAGAAAACTATTGAGGGTAAGTAAGTAGCGCCATCTATGTAAGTGTATTAAAAATTGTCCTCTCAAAGAGAGCCAATTAATTTGGCGTCATGTTAGCTAGTGGAAAGATTTAAAAAACAGCGCCCTAAACTACAACATTTCACTCTGTTTAAAACTATTATATTCATATAGTTTCCACTTTCTACACTAGCGCCACATTGGCGAGATTTCGAACTAAAAAAATTTTCCCTACCTATACTGATAACCTTGAGAGGCTATTTCAGCTTCGCCCTATCATGTAGATAAGCTCACGGGGCTCAAACCGAAGTGTTGCTAACAATGGTCCTAGCAAGACCCACAGAGAAAATCCGGCGAGAAACTCAGTGGGCATTAAAACTTGCTGTTTGCAGGTCGACACTTTTCAACATGTCTCCTATACAATGGTGCTCCTTACATCTACCCTCCATAGAGGGTGTGAAGGTGTGAGTGAGGGTGTGAGTGTATTTTCAGCGTATTTCCAGGCCAATTTATAAATAACAAGAGACTTTTTTAAAATTACGATGTCATCGTAAAAATCTGCGAGGCGACGCTTTATTATATCCATTAGCAGTACATAGTAGTACATAAACGTAATTACAGTATATCATTTAAAAAAAAGAATGATAAAAATTTTCATTTCAATAATTTTAGATTTTTAAAATGGATACCTACTCCACAGTTTTCTCTGCCGATACAAATAGCTAAGGCGTTATTCGTCGATATTTTAATAGTGTACCGTCAATTTTTTTCTATAAAATTAGTTATAATTTAGACCACCAAAATATCAATATACAATTGATGGTTCCAGTGTGCTATCCGGACTGAGATGTCTGTATGTTTGATTTGATTTGAGTTGAGAGGACGTCAAGTATGCGTAGAGGAAGAAGATTCGTCTTGGAATTTGTTCGCGGTTGTGAGCACTCGTGAGTATTTAAATGGACCATTTCAGCGTTATTGTTGAATTATGGAAATTGTTGTCGTTCCTTATTTGAAAATAATCTTGAGCAAACGTATAGAATTCGAAAATATTTTTTTTTTATGTTTTGTCCTAAGAACCTTTATTTTTAATCTCATTTTAACACATATGTAGGTGCGACTGTTACCAGAAACGCATAGGCGATATCCTCCTAATAAACTTCCCTATTTACCGATTCAGTTTACGGTTGCCTTTGATTCCACAGGGAAATCGCCGGTGACGTCTGGCAACCCATAAAACTAATTTAATACAAAATTGTATTTAATCTGTGCCTCATTCGAGTGGGATAAGCCGAAGAACTCACTATTATAATTCGAAATTTGAACTAAATTTTTCGAAAACTACGTAATTCCTGTTATTCCAATTTACGAATCTGTGGAATTCGATCGGGAAATTTTCGAAATTTAAATAATTGTAAAGCTCCGTTTTTGGTCCGTCAAGTTCGTCGACCCCGAGGCAAGGTCGGAGCGCGGCCGATGACTGCGAGCGCCTGTGTGCGTGCGTTGTCGCTGTGGTGGGGTGGCAACGGGATCGATTGGACACGCTCTGTAGATTAGTTGGGTTTTTTTTTTATAGTACAAGTTGACGCGCCTCTTTTCGTATCGAGAACTGTTCTTTTTTTGAAATCATTCCAATAACTAAGGAGATTATTGCTGTATTGTTTTTTTTTTTTTTTATTTGAATTTGGAAGAACGCTATTTGAAGAAGATTGTTTATAAGGTCGACTGCACATTTGTCAGCACATTCTAATAATTGTACTTATAATTAGGTTTTTATGTTAAAAAAAAAAAAAACAAATATTTAATATGAAAATTTGAAGAGTAAAATCCAAATCAAACAAAACCATGACACGTCCAGTAATTAAGATTTAATGAAATAGCAATTAATAAGTAATCAACTCGACGATTATGTTCATTAAAAGCGCCACGTGTAAAATGTATTCAAATGTTCTAAATTTGTTGTTTTGTGGAAATCATTTGAAAACTAAGAGGAACTCAATTTACCTAAACCCACTAATGATTGATTGTTCGCGGAATTAAAAAAAAAACCCAACACAGAATATTTTGAAGTGAAGACGAATGTTTTAATAAGTAACTCGTACTGTATAGGCATTTTGTGCCAAAAACCAATTAACTTGTAGTTCTCATGAAGCGCACGTCGGTTCAACGACTTCATCTATACAATGCCAATAAAAAACAATGCAGTTGCCAAATTTGAAACAATAAAAGTCATTCGTAATTTGTTAACGTGTAACGGAACGTATTAGAACAATAGTTAACACGTTTCGTTTCACGCAACGCGGCTCCAACCGACGTCCAGTTGCGAAATGACAGCTGTCAGTATTTGGTAACATCCTCTGTGACAGTATTGTCGTCCTAATCGCTGTTCTATATTCGAAATTCAAAACATTAAATTTTACGGGAGCTAGCATTCTATTTTATTTTTTTTAAATATAAAATTAAACACGGTTCTGAGTTTTTTTTTTTTTTTACGAAACTCATATTCGAATTTTGGCATCGTGTGAGTTAATTATATACTGTAACGTGTATTTTAAAAATCGAACGTGGATTTAATATTTAAAAGATTCGCGAATCAATACTTCGTTTTTCGAAAATTTTTGAATTTATACTTATCTATCTAATATATAAAATTCTCGTGTCACAGTTTTCGTTGCCATACTCCTCCGAAACGGCTTGACCGATTTTGATGAAATTTTTTGTGCTTATCCGGTATCTATGAGAATCGGCCAACATCTATTTTTCATCCCCCTAAATGTTAGGGATAGTCCACCCCTAATTTTTTTTTTTTAATTTTTAGAAAAAAATTTTAATTTCTAGATTTTTATGATACAACATACAAAAATACATACAATCCTCAATTTTCACCCTTCTACGATCAACCCTTATTTTTTAATAGCCATTTTAGTAATTTAATCATTTTTCCTCTCCGGTCGAAAACTGATCAATCGTCATTTAATTAGTTATCCCCGCCAGATGTCTACAGGTGTCGCTTCTGACCCAGTAAACAGCACGGAGTAGGGATGTTATCTCTACAGTTTTCGGCTATTATTAGTGTTTATGCTTCAAGGGTAGTAGTCAAACATTTTTAGTTCATCGCCTTGCATGTCAGATGGAAAAAGTACAAAAAAAATCCCTGAAGATTTCACTAACGATACAATCACAAATGTCGACGGATATCCAATATATCGTCGAAGGAATCCAGATAATGGCGGACAATCATTTATTATAAACATCAGCAACACAGACATTGATATTGACAATCGTTGGGTCGTGCCATATTNCTTTTGTTTAAACTTTATCTAATTTAACTTTTTTGTATTCATGTCTATGATAATAAAATCCTTTTGTTTAAACTTTATCTAATTTAACTTTATTTAACCAATTTCTAGAAAGTTGCATGTAGATCATTTTTCGAAAAATAAGGCCATAAACAAGTTTCACTTCTTACGTGTGTACACTAGTACACGCACACATTTTTATTTTTAAACACATAAGTACCTAAATAAAAATTAAAAACAAATTCCAAATTTGATTTTGAATTGACGGTGCTTGTTTCTTCGCGGCTCAAGTTGAATTATGAAATTCAAATTCGAATATGGAATGTTTGGATGTATTATTTTTCCCGCATTTTTTTATTGTACCACGTATAAGTTCTCTAAGTGTTCTCTAAGTGTCATTACTGGTGTTAGGACCTCTTGTAAGTCCGCACGGATAGGTACCCCCACCCTACATATTTCCGCCGTGAAGCAGTAATGCGTTCCGGTTTGAAGGGCGGGGCAGCCGTTGTAACTATACTGAGACCTTAGAACTCATATCTCAAGGTCTCATATCTCTTTTAAATTTCAATAAAAAATCAATTGTTACAATTAAGGCCGTCAGCGCAAAAGTGGCCTAATCCACAATTTTTCATAAGCATGCTTATTGCATTATGTATATTGCAATTTATTTAAAATATAATAAATTTTGATGCAAAACCGGCCTATCCATAGTTTCACCCGTAGATAACAGATGGCTTTGTAAACATTGTTTTCGCGCGTATTGTTTTTTTTGCCTACAAAATTCATGCAAACTTAAACCTTATTGCTCCGTAACAACTATGGTAAGCTTAGGCCGCTTTTGCACTGACGGCCTCAATTAAGAAGTGAAAATACAAAACGTTTTCTCGAAACGCGGTATCAAACAGGCCCGGGGTGAATGACCCCTTATCGGTCGCTGATAAAGTCGTTACGTTAAACAATCAGACTGTGTAATGTATAATACATTAGTCATCTAGAATGCGGAAGCTGTTGTCTCGGGAAGAAGTTTGCTTCGACACAATCACCACTAGGTGTCGCTTAGAATCGTAATGGCGATTTTTTTTTCCTACTATTCTAGGCTATTTCAGCGTAACCTTAACTAGTAGGTGAGCTCACGGGGCTCAAACCCGACGACGTTGCCAACACGAACCCTAGCAAGAGCCGTGCTTCGCAGAATCTACCACCGGATCGGAAACGCGGCCCACTGAGAAGATCCGGCGAGAAACTCAGTGGGCTGTGTCTGAGGGTTAATTTACTCGTCGAGCCCTTCGTCGTAAGTGACGGGTTCGCTTGAAGTACCTAAAAGCACCGTTAGTGGATCGGGAGGATCCGAAATGACGTGTTTTGGGCGACGTTGACTGCTTTCCATTCTGTCCGCAGGATCGGGAATGATACTGGCGGCTGCTTGCTTTAGTACGTTGTAGATGTCTATGGACTGATAACCACTTAACACCAGGTGGGCTGTGAGCTCGTACACCCATCTAAGCAATAAAAAAAAAGACACGTTACAAACTATAAAGGAATTCAAAGCTTTTTATGATTGATCTATC